GAAAAAGACCATCGCATTAGAAAATGAAGATAATGAAATCAACTATGCAGAATGAGAAGTACTGACATGGATCACAGGAAAGAAGATTCAAGTTCACTTATGTTTTATATGTTCAACAATAAAGGAAATAGGTTAATAACCTTTAGAATGTGACGACTCTTGTTCCCTTTGAGTTGGGTTACTTACTTCAATATTCGACTTAGATTCATTTTTCACCATACCTGCTTCCTTGTTTTCCCCGCCGTTAACACCTTCAAATGAAGAGCTTGAATACGGATGAGACTTATCACAAATTTCAACATAATCTACAATATTGGAGTTCACTAGTTAGTAGTTTCAACATTTTAAATATATCCCTTAAATTAATGAAGTGATGTTCGAATGTAAATTAAAAATAATAATTGAATAAAATAAAGATCAGAAGTACAATGACTAGAATCATTAGAGCATAGACTAGAATCTTCTGTAAGGTCAATGGCACTTCTTATAGCAACATCTGCCTTTGCTTGATAAGGTAGTCTTGATACATAGTTCTGGCAATTCTGATACTACAATGATTGAATGAAGTGTCAATATAAGAAGACAACGAAGAAACTTGCTACCAGAATACTTGGAGATAATAGATGAAGGAGTTTGGTTAAGGCATGTTGAAGTTTGTTCACTCGAAACAGTTGTTTCTGGGGGCACACATGGGTCACCTATGAAAAAATGATTATTATATCAAATCAAAGGAAGACATTAATTAAAGATTTCATTTAAAGAAAACAGCAAGTACCATCAGTAGAGTTTTCAAGCTTTTTCTCTAGTGAAGAACTGCTAACTTTCTTGCCATTTCAGGGACGTTGGGATGTTATCAAGCTGTCTGTAAACCCATAAAATAAATAACTAGTATTTTTCTAATACAAAACTAACAAATCAATATTTTACCTTCCTCTTCCTCTTCAAATATTTTAGCACTTGCGTGAGTGTTATCTCTTATAGGAGGTTGGGACTTGCATGAACTGGCAACTTCTGTTGGAAACCAGTGGTCATATAAAACAAAGATGATAAATTGGTGTAGCTGTTTTCTATGTACCCAGACCAACACCACAATATATAAAACTAAGCTTTAAGAGATTGGCTAACAAATAAGTCTTAAAAATTTTTGTTTTTTTCCAACTTTGGTCTTAGACCTTCTTCAATAGTATTCTTTGTTGCTTCATATATAGCAGAAGATAAAAAACAGTTTCAAACGTTGAATTCATTAACACTAGGATTCCTTTCTTCTTCATTATTCAGCATAACAAAAACAATGATTCAGATGATGATGATGATATGTTCTTTTGACATATTTTAGATATCATGCTCATCAACATCAATATTGTTTCTGCATAGCCAGCACTACAGATCAAACTTTGCTTATTAGTTCATGTCAAATTCATTAAAAAATTTTAAATACGCACACACATACACACTATATTTATGTGTGTTAAGAGTTTCTTGTTGCCATTTTAAAGGATAATACTCACATCAAGTTCCTTATATCCATTGTGTCAATTACAAATGACTGTGTACTATTTTTAAAATATTAACATTTAGTTATAAATCTACATGAAACAAAAAAGGACACATGTTCATATATGATTGGAGAACTTGACATAATGGATATAAGCAACTTGACATGAGTTTTTTTCTCCCATTTTATCCCCCTTCAAATTATATGTTAAAGTTCATATGACAACTTTAAAGCAAAGAAAGAAAATTATTGTGTAATAGAGACATCAATAAAGAATAAAAATTTGTAGATAAAAAAATTAACGTCAGTTTTGGTGATACCTTTCTTAAATCAATTCTAATTATTCTGCATGGAAAAGAATTAATGAATTAGCTAAAATATTTAGTAGTAATTGTAATATTTGAATTTTGAATACGGGTTAAATAAGATAGCTGACCTAAAAGTTGAAAAATATAGTGAGCTTAGGGGCAAAAGATTAAATAAGAGAAAATATAGAACAAAATTATAATTATAAAAAAAGCCCGAAATTTTGAGAGAAGTCTCGAAAAGTAGAGAAGAGATTTTCAAAGCATATTTGAGGTTTAGGGACATTATCTAAAATTTAAATGTCTCAAAAATGAATTATTGGTCAAAAAGTCTATTTTGTATGAGAATTTAAGGAAATAAAAAAATAATTATTAAAATTATTTAAGGCCTAGGAAAATTGGGGAAAATATTATGAGATATTATTTTGAGAATTTAGAAATATTATGAAGAGGTTTGTATTTTCCAAAAATGACTTATAATTTTAAAACTAATTTATGGGAGATAAGGGGCTATTTTTCTGAAAATTGACTTAGTTGTGGAAGGACATCCTTCATGACCATCTCTTTCATCTCACCTTGTCTTACTAGTACATGCTCAAGTTCATCGGCTCTACTTATCCTCAAAGATCTTAGTTTTGGAAGGACACCAGAAATAGTTATAAAGAATAAGTACCTCAATTTGTCACAAAAATTGACAGAGACTTGTTCTAAGTTAGGAAAGCATGGTTCATGGCACAAATGATCATCATCATTTGTTCCATTATCTTCTTCAACAATGTGAACTAATTCTTCACACCATGATATATCTAGTTTCATCAGCATTGGTAAGCCTCTCATAATAGATGTGGAGAAGATAACATTGAGCTTCTCGCATTCACTAATGCATAACTGCAAAAGACTTTGGAAGCATATGATATGTTTAGGCCCCACACATATATTCTCCAACTCACTTAGATCTGTCAATTTCATCTTTTGTAAGCTTGATGTCAATGGTTCAAGACCATCCCCATTTTTTTCTGTGTCCACTAGAGATCTCTTATTGAATTGGAATAAGTTCGGCAGCAGATCACGAAATCTTGCTTCTCTATCTAATGAATGGGGAGTCCGTTTTAGAAGGGTTTCCATTTTTTCAAATGAACGATTTGAAGACCTATTGATTCTAACAACTGATTGCAGAGTTGATCATTCGGACCTTTCAATTCATAGATGTGTATCAGATCAACAATTTCTTTTATTGTGGAGAATCGAACTATAAGAGTTTTTGAAGTTTGCCCGTGCATCTCAGTTGCCTACAAATTCCATGAAAGATATATCAATTCCAATTTTTTTTATAAAAAAAGACATTTTTGAAATGGGTAGAATTTGAACAAAATCACAGTAGAATTTAGGATGAATGGAACTATTTAATAAAGATTAAGAAGAAACAAATACATTTGAATTTTAAATATAAATGTCATTTTCAAACATGTATGCATGAAAATAACCCACAAAAAAAAAACTTATTGTTCACGAAAATAGAGAATTAGTGATGTAATACTATAAATTTCTGCTTCTTTATGAGAACACATGAATGAAGTAGGGAGAAGTATTATTATAACATAACTTATCAATTGGGGGAATATATTAACACTAGCAAGAGAAGTTGAATAGAGTCGTACCTTTGTTTCTTGTTGTTATGCATGCCAAGAAAATAAAAATTCTTTGAAAGGTTTTGTAAACTCTGAAAACCCATCCAAAACAATGAACGACATTGGAGATAACCCTGTCAAATAGTAGTTTTCAGGGTAAATGCTAACAAGTTTTGGCACATCCTTAATTGAAAGATCTTTCAAAGTAGGGAAGTCTATGTGGATTTTGATACTTTCATTCTGATGAATTAAATTATCCCCGTGTTGGCTTCTTCCAAGTACATATTTCAACAAAGGAGCCTCTTTGATCACCAAAGACTCCAAATATGCAAGGCATCTGAAAGCATATGCAGGGAATAAATATTCCAATGCATCACAGCCATAAACTAGTAACCGTTTCAACTTTGGAAAGATGTGAGTTCCAGCATCTACCTCATCTCTGCAATGCACTTTAGATCTCTACAATGACTGATCGACAAATCTTCCAACAAAATTGTAGAGGCAAGGGATAGAGTTGACAATGATATTACGTGACAACATCTCCATAGTTCTATTTTCCTAACATTCTTCGATGATTGCACCAAAAAGATTTGAGATGCATGGAAAGGAGGAACTCTATCTGTAAATGAATTTAATTCCTACAAGCACAAATCTTTAAAAAGTTATATCTATCACCAACAGAATAAATCACTCTTATTTTAAAATAAACAATATGCTAAATTGGAATATATAATAATACATAGTAAATCAAAGATGTCTTTAACATAACAACAATTTGTCCAATAAATTATTCTTATTCCAAAACAAACAATCAGTGAAGATTTATTTTAAAAAACAGTATGTAAATTTTTTAGGTAGTCATATCATATACAACAAATAATATCAAAGAAAATAAAAACTTAATTCAACTCTTTATGAGCTCCTTTATAATGGAAAAAAAAAATCTTTTCAATTTAAAATAATTATTGCCTTTGTTTGTCTTATTCTGTCCCACATTTAGACAAAGATTGGCATCTGTCAAAGACTTGCAATTCGACCCATATGTTTTATTTAATATTAAGTTGGTCCATACGATTTTATTAAATAAAGAATCAAATTATTTATCAAGTAGTAGTAATTAATAACAGAACACAGCACATTTAAGTGAAATTATGTTACGTTGATGTCAATAAGGCACTCAAAGCTTGAGATATATTTTATCTGACATTTTGAAATCATTAAGACCAAATTAATGCTAATTAAAACATCAAACTGGTTGAAACTTTGAGTAATAAAGTTTCATTTTCCCAAGTATACATGGAGCTAACTGACATAATTTTACGTGTTAATTTGCATAATCCATTCGTAACTTTTTTTATTCGAAGTCTTTATTAGTAACCATATATTAATATCACTCTTGTTAGGCAACAATTAATTCAATATTTGTTAATGAACAATTAATATAAAAGCTGAATTGAGCGGGGAAAAAAGCGCTCAACATATAAAGACAGTCATAAATAATTTCGTTTTGATCACATAATACTCCATTTGTAATTAACATTATCTAAACAGAACAAATCATCTGTACAAAAGTTAAAGAGAGTGTACCTCTGTAGTTGTCAAATTCACCATGTCATAATCATCAAAAGATTTAACGCTGCAATTCATCATCACAACATTCTGAAGAGATGACAGATCCATCTTATAATTCTTGGCACAAAAGCTGTTGATCTCTAGTGCACCTATGATTGTGAGGTTTTCCAAAGCAGGGAGATCGAAATGATGGTCATCATTTTGCTGATCTTGCTGGTAGTTCCCAACAACATATTTTAGTTCAGGAACTTCCCTAATAGTCAAAGACTTCAATTTTTGAAGACTACCAGGTATTGATGATTGAAATACAAATTCCAACTCCTTGCAGTCCTCGATTTCCAGATTCTTTAGCGCTGGGAAAATAGAACAGTAATTATTATTATCAACTTGAACATCTGCCTCGTGTTGTGTTGCACTTCAGTTTATGGCATTCCCTGATTTTCAAATTTTCCAATGAAATTGTTGAGGCCGCAATGGATAGAGTTGACAGTGATATTAAGTTCTCACATTTCTTAAGTTCTATTTCTCTAACATTCTTCAGGGACTGCACCAAAAGGCTTTGAGCTACAAGAAAAGGAGGAACTCCTTCTACAGATGCATCTAATTCCTACAAACACATATCAATGGATAATAAATCAAGAAAATATATCAGTCTCATTCCAAAACAAACAATTCGTAAAATTTAAATATACAATAATACATAATATTTCAAAATATTTTTAATATAACAACAATCAGCAAAATAGATCATTCTTATACGAAAACAAACTGTAAGTAAGATTTTTATATGCAGTAATGTACAGCAAATTAAATAATATCGAAGCATAACAATAAATCAAAACAATGATAACTAAGCGTCTTCATAAAGTATCAATATACATTATCATATGTTCATCGTCTTTCTTAAATCTAACCCTTTGAATTGTTGTGCTCCATTCTAATATTCTAATATACAATGGGTCGACAATCAACTAATCTAAAAGCTTACTATATTGGAATATTCATAAATGATTGTGTCAAATTAATATATGTTTCACTTCACAATGACAATATGATCAACGTATTTATAAATTAATATAATTTGTTGTGTAATATGTTCATTCTTAAATGTTTGTCTTTTTGTCATCCCTTTTGAGTTATAACGCCGCATTTAGTTAATATTAATAAACAAACAATTAATGTAAAAGGATTAGCATATTAGAAAATCCATAAATAATTGTATTTTTTGTATCAAAGTAATTAATGTTTGTAAAAATGAAATTTAAGGATCTTCTATAAACATTTTTTTTACCAAAGAATCTCCTATAAACATTAATTATATAAAGGACTGTGAATTTTAAAAATATCAAATATGGACCAAACTCCTTGGTTGAACTCGAAAGTTTTGTTAAATTGATTTTCTCACTAGTCAACTTTAATTTTTTTTTAATACTACTATTTTCAATGTTTTCAATATTTTTATCTATTTACTACTCTTTTTAATGATTTCAATACAAAAGAAACTAAATGAGTGTTGAAAACATCGAAATTGAGTAATTGAACAAAACAAGAAATTTAGGTATTAAAAAATTGAAAATATTAAAAACAAGAATTGAAGTGGTTAAATTTATGTACTTAAAAAAAATGAAGAATATAGAAAAGAATCAATATAAAACATTTTATTCTAACCAGTGATCTAAATCCCTTTTTGAAACTTTTAAATTTCATGGTCATTAACAAAATTATATTTCTTTTTGACACTAAGATATATCTTAGTGTCATTTTTAAGTGATATACGCATACAGTAAAATTTTTAAGTGATATTTGTAGACACGCATGAAATCTAGAAAACTAGCATATCATGAAATCTAAAAAGAGAGCATTACCTTTGTGGTATTCAAATTCAGTTGTGCTTTGTCTAAACAATGTGAGGTAGAGATGTTGACGCCATTTTATAATTCATGGGACCAATGCTGATGAACTTTGGTACATCTCCAAAACAGAGGGCCTCTAAAGCAGGGAGATCAAAGTGCCACTCGTCATTCTTATTTTGATTGGATAAACAATGCTGATGCTGGTATTTCTCAATGACATATGTTAGTTGAGGAGCATCACCAATAGTCAAGGACTTTAAATTCTTAATTTCTATAGATATTGTAGACAGAAATAAAAATTCCAAGTCCTCGCACCATGAGATGTCCAGTTTCTGTAACTTTCGGAAAATGGAACTGCAATTGATTTCATCTTTATAATCATAACCCATAATTGTCAATTCTTCCCATGATATCACTGATGCCATGGATAAAGTGAACAAAGTTGATACTAAATTTGAAGAGAGACATGCAAGTGTCATCTTCCTGATATGACGAACATGGAGTGCTAGTTGTCTCACAAGGGTAGAAGCAGTATCAATCCATTTCTTAGATGCAAGTAATCCCTTCAAAAAGACATTGTTGTTTACGCAATCTTAATGCTCATAAATATCTAAACTAGGAAAATAAAGGTAATGAAGATTTTTGTTGTAGTAGATGATGTGTAATTTGGTTGAAATCTAGGAAACTATCATTATCCGATTATAATTTCAAGAAATTCAAGATATATAATAAATTTTTTTTGTGTGTTAAGCATTGTTAACTGTGGGAGAGGAATGTCTCCACTAACCCCTCTCTCCACTTTCTCTCCACCTAATATTTTCCTCATTATATCAAACTTCAATGGCTAAGATTTACTTTATAAAGATATTATTAAAATATTAAATATTAACTAATAAAAATATATAAATGAATTTATATTGTTAAGTGTTAGAGTTTGATATAAGTAATTTAATACGATAAATTTTTATAATATTTCATATTATAATAATATTTTTACTCAATTTTAAATCTCAACCATTGAAAGCTAATCTAATGATGGAGAAATTAAGCAGAGAGGAAGTGGAGAGAGAAGTTAGTGGGGACATTCTTCTCCATGTTAACTATATTTCTTGCAATAAAAAGCATACGTGCTTGCGCATGTATTTGTAACACTCGTATCTTATTTTATTTAATTGTAAATCATTTTTCTGTATGAAATAATTAACAATGTATAATTCACAAGAGAGAGACTTAAATGTTAAAAAAAAAAAAATCTGAACATAAATGGGGAAGCGAGCTGAGGATACCTGTGGGATTCCTTCGTCAAGCAATCTCCTTGTAGAAACAGCAACATCAGCCTCTTCACTTGTCACCTTTGATTTAAAACAACATACTTGGGCCAAGGAAAAAGAACGTGTCTTGGTGCTTGGACGCGTGGGTGCTGACCATTGCGGTGACAAAGAGATGGATTTTTCATACTCCCTAAAAAAACCAACCAAACTTGGTAGGCTAAAAAGTTCCATTCTTTCTAGAGAGGAGAGTATAACATTAACCTCTTTGAACTTATCAAATATATATTTCAACTTCTTGCACTGCCATATCGTTATTGTTTCCAGAGGCTATCCACCGAGAAGGATTGGCAATATTATTTCTAAATTGTCACAACTACTAATTTCAAGAATTTTAAATTTTGGAAAAAAAGTGTCATAGCTCTTTTGATTATTTTCACCATCACTACTAGCTATTTCCCCTCTTGAACTCTTATCTTCTACAATGCGTTCCAATGCATCACATCTCTCAATTTTCAACTCCTCCAATTGCAAAAGACTTTGAGCAGTGGATGGGAGGAAAATTGAAGTTAGGTTTGGACACTCGTCCAATTTCAAGGTCTTGAGATTACAAAGGTTATAGTGGCTGTCAAATAATATATTGCTTAGTCCTGTTTCAGAAAGATATAGTTCAACTAAATTGGAAAAAGCATTCTTCACATCAAAGCGATTGTTCACAGCATCAATAAGACATTGCATGCCAGGCCAAGAATCCAATTGAAGAATGATCAAGTTAGTCATGCCTTCGTCATCTACTAGAATAATGTCAGGGATAAGATTTTTTCTGTTTTGTTTCTCCATGACCTTCTAAGATGAGAAGCTCAGCTGTTTCAGCAAGTTGCTTAAATATTGCGTCGGAGATTAAATGCCTTAAATTACTTGGGTTAAAGCATCTTGACAAGGAACCACATTGCTCAAAATAATCTAAAAATTCATCCTGACCATCACAAGATAATTGATATATCTGTAACATATGAAAAGATGCTTTATGAGAAATTGTATTTTCTATTTCCTTCTCATCATACCGATTTCTCAAAAAAGTCAACTCCTCTAGCTTTGGACATGCTTCAATCAGTTTAAAAGGATTACTCATATTGATTTCACAATTTTCTATCCTTAAGAATCTCAACTTCTCTAGCTCAAAATTTTCTCCAAATGATTTAATAATTGAACAATCATCAAACCATAGACTCTCAAGATTTGGTAACTTTCCCAACATAGAGATGCCATTGGATAATGTAAAATTTCCTATTTTTAGAGTTTGAATACTTTGTAATGACTGAATTGATGGAAACAGTGATGGAGCTGAAATCCAATTGAAAGCTTCACTCCATAGGAACAAACCTCTAAGCTTTTTCATCTTTGTAAACAATGTATTAGGGACTTCCAAATCCTCTGAGTTATCTAGAACCCAAAGTAAAACCTCAAGGTTTCTACCATCAAAGTGTCTTGGAAATGAATTGCTTTTCCAAAATAAATATTGCAAGCCCTTTTTAGGCTGATTAGATTCAATGACAGATTGAACATCCTTTTCTCCTATCAATAAGGCTACTTCGTGAACCAAATCATGCATCTTTACGCATTCTCTCTCCGCATTCAACAATAAAGCAGAATCTAGGAGTTCCCCTATAGTATCAAGTACTTTTCTTCTTCTTTTACTATAGTTATCAACTTCCCTAGAAAGGTCCATTCCTACACCAATTCTGATTAAAAACTCCATAGGAATCTCAAAATCTTCGGGGAATAGGGAAGATATCAACAGGATCTTTTTGGCCTTTTCATTTTTCAAATTATCATAGCTCAACTTCAAACCTTCATAGACCCCTTTTAAATCATTGTCACGAACGTTAAATATTGGCTCACCGCTTTGCAAATTCCTCAAGGCTTCCTTCCAAACCATAGAAGGTCGACCTTTTAATGATCTTGCTACAACGACAATTACAGCTGGTAGTCCAAGGCAACGCTTCACAATATTTCGTGCCAAACTCTACAAATTAAAGGAACTATTAGTATTCTTGAGGAAAAGAGACAATGCTTCCTTGTTGGTCAATGTATCTAGACGAACTTTTCTTTGGCAATCCATTTCTGTACAAATCTCTTTAATCTGGGTGGTTGTCAATATAGTACAACCCTTGTACAGGTGGGGAGGAGGAATCCCCAATGCTTTTGTGGGATCAAACTCCATCCACACATCATCTAGTGCTATAAGAAGTTTTTCTTTTAATGCTTTGATTTTGGTTAATATTTTGTCATGGGGTACTTCTTCCATTCCATTCTCTAATTTCAAATCCAAATTCCTAGCAATTTCACCTTGAAGCTTTTTGAAATCTGGAAGCTTAGAGACAACAAGAAAGATAACTTTTCCGAATGTGGCTCCTTCTAATTCAGCACCCACTTCCTTTTCCATTGAGGTTTTGCCTGTTCCCCCTAAGCCTTGCAATCCAATCATACTGTTTTCTTCATCTTCTAGTGTCTTTTTAAGTTCTTCAAATGTTGACTTTCTACTCTCAAAATGCATGAAATTTGGTAAGCAATGGTATTTTATACCTGGAAGATCAATTGGACTTGCTACTATGTCAAAGTTACATCTCTATAGAAGTTTGTCAATATCTAGAGTATGCTTCGCCAAGTCTTTGCCTTTCTGATATTGATACCAGCAATTAAGACACAAGTCATTAAAGCATTTCTCTTTCTTAGTGTCAACATCAATGAGTTCTTTAGCTTTACATGCCCATTGTAGGGCTACAGATGTGATAAGAGAAACACCTCTAGCTTGATCAATTATTCTCCTTACATCTTCAAGTTTTGCATTCAATCTTTCCTTTGCCTGCTCATATTTTTGAACATAACTATTGAAGCAACATAAATATTGAGCTTCGTTTTTCACCAAGCTCACTAAACTTTGGGTTTCGTTCTCTGCAAGTTTAGTAGGGATGCTCTACATCTAACATGGAATGGAAATAAAGTTAATGTTATTCTATCTTTCTATCTTGATTTAAGTTGTGAAATATGGACATAATGATTTTAATAAGATGAAAAATGAAGGAGACTAACTGAAAAAGGAGCAAAATATATACTAATTTGGTGTTTAGTATAATCATCTTAGAAAGTAAAATACATGAAGATGAATCTTGTAAGAAATTCACTATAGGTCATATCTTATGACTCAATGAATGCATTTTGAAGCTGGATTTGGCTAGTGGTTTTAAATTGGAGGTCACTTAGACTACATTAAAATTTAAAACCCCATAAAATTAGAGGCTTAAAATTACTTTTAATATTCTAAGATATATATAAATTGAAATATTTTTATGTTTTTGGTATTCATCCCTAGATTTAGGTAACACTTCTATGAGTAAAGAAGAAAACGTGATCATGGTTTTGCTCTCAAGTGGAGAAATTCTATTGTAGTTCTCTAATGCTTCTATCCTAGTTGATAAACAAAAATATGATTTAAAAATGATACATATATAAAATTTATATTTCTTAAAAAATCTAACACAAAATTTTAAAATATATGATTTTTATAATATATTGATTATAAATATATGTTGTTTCTTTAGTAATTATGTGATAGACTTTACTTTTATATTAACTTAACAAATATTTAAAACTACAATCCATAAATATCAATATTTTTATAAGACGCAATATATATGTGTCCACAAACTAAACTTTCCCGGTCTAACGCTGTCATGACGTGGCAAATGTGTAGCCGAGTGTCTACCGTCATGGATTATTTGTGTTAGTATATTACCCTTTTTATAAAAAAGACATTTACTAAAACGTTGGAAATAAAATTTTCAAACAAGGTTTTCTTTAACTTTATTGAATTGGCTTAATAGTATTATGTATGTGTTACACATATTAACATACGAATAAAATTAAGATGATCATATATCCTAACTTGTTTTTTTTTTTTCCTTTTCTGTTTTCATTTGGGAGAAGAAAGCAATTGCTGAACTAGAAAATAAGAACATAGAGTTATGCACCCACAATTTAACAAGTTTCAGAATATTATATTTACTTTTTTTTTTCCTGATCAGGTTTAACATCCCAAAATTTATTAAAATTACGATTAGGTCCTTACTAAAGTTTAGTCCTAGAAACCATCTCATAAAGATCTCCATTATAAAAACTTTTGGCATATATTCATCTCAATTTCTCGTAGACAGCTCTCGAAACTTCATCAAAGTCTTTATTTTTCTCATTTCTTAGTCCCAAAAAACTCTCTCTTTGTCGTTTGGTCCTTGAAAATCCTCCTATCTTTTTAGGAAACTTTTGAGACTCCTCTTAATTAGGGTCTAGTAGTTTGCTCATTTCATGCTATTTCTTACACTTCTAGGTCTAAAATTTAAAATGTTACATCGTGTACTTCTTATGTTGTCCTTAAATCTTGATATGCAATGATTTTGTTCCTATTATAAGATGGACTTAAAGTCCTCACTAAACTAAGGGGTAAAAAAGGTTAAATTATTTGATTTTTGTTGAAAGCGAAAAAATTATGCAAATTTATTTCTAATTATGTCGAACAATGCTTAGATATGATTTAATATATATTACAGAATATCAAATAACTAAAACAATAAGAATGACATCTTAAGGAGTCACAAGAAAATTGCATCATAATTAATATCCACTTGAAAATTTAAATAAAAATTTTTGTTTCTTTTAAAAAGGGTCTTACTATAAGGACGTGAATATTATTCTACATCAATTCATCTATCATTTACTCAACCAATGCACACAACCATTATTGCCAAAATTTGCATCATATTAATTGACGTGTTCCTTAAAGAAAGCAGGATACATCATGAGGGGAAGTCTGAAGCCTAAAATACATAATAGAAGGTTGAAAAACTTTTTATTGGGAAAAAATAATCTCTTTAAATCTCTGAAAGAAGATTATCAATAAATTCAACAACTCATTTTTGGGCCACTTCATCTTATCTCAAATAAAAAAAGTAAAAACTGAATCAACTTTGAAAGCTTTTATTCTTTTCATGAACCGCCCAAAAGTTACACACACACACACACATATTATGTTGCAGAGTTTGATTGAATTAATTTTTTTAATTGTGACTTTATCTAAATTAGCCTCATGATTGCCAATTCACTATGGAGTCTCATGTTGCCCTTAATCTTGATATGCAATGACTTATTAATTTTGTCCTATTATAAGATATATTTAACCAACTCGCTAAAACTAAGAAAAATATTAATTTATTTAATTTTAGTTAAAAACGAAAAATATTTAAATTTTTCTCTCACATTTCAAACAATGCCTAAATCTGACTTAGTATATATTACTGAATATCAAATAATTATATAGAAATATAAATTATATCTTAAGGAGTCATAAAATAATTACATCAGACTTTAATGAGTGCTAATATTAAAAAAATGTAATTAATATTCACTTGATGATTTAAATAAAAATTATATTATCTTTGTTTTTGGCAAACGTGTCCTCTTACAAGAAAGGGAAGATTATTCTATATCAATCATTATCCCTCCATCATATCGCACGCACGCACGCTCGCACGCACGCGCACCCACCATTGCCAAAGTTTTCGAATCATATTAATCGATCTGTTCTTATAAAGAAAGCAGTAGGCAAATATCATAAAACGTACATTTTAAAAATTAAGTTGATCTGTAGATTATTAAATGCTTTTTTATTCCTTAAAACGTTCCTGGCTAAAATAGGAGATATATATTTAAATTTCACAAAAAATTGCCGACTATTAATTAATAAGTGTAGGAAAAAATTGTTTTGCAACAAATTTAATAAGCTCATATATTTTTCGCCTATTTTATATCTGGTTTGTATAAGCTTAGTCATTAGCGTCTTATATTTTAAAAAAATGATACAAGAAAATTGAGTATTATGAAAGGTTTCGCTGCGTCTTCCAAAAATTGTGTTGCTTGTTTAAAACCATCGCTTTATTTCAATTGTTTTAAGATAAAAGCCGTTCCATAAATTATTAGTATACGAAATTAAATTTCGTAGGAAAATTACTTAAATACGCTTAAGTTGAAATTTGAAAAACGAAATCACAACTAACAAATTACAACTCTTATTCTATGAAATGACAATAATATTAATTTTTTTTGCCAACAAGAATAATATTAAAATCAGAGATAACTAATTTCTCAAATTCAGCTTTGCATGTTATAGGTGTTAGCATATTGCTAAATATGAATGGCAACGTTTTGTCCAGCAAATCACAATACTTTCACTTTGTCATGTGATGAGGATATCTCATATACCCTAGTGCTCATAAAAGATATTATTACCTCTAATTCTAAATATAAAAACTAGTTTATAATGTAAATTACACTATAAAGTAATTCTTATATTTAAAATTGGAGGTAGTATGTTGAAAGACTATAATTAAATTAACTTTTTAATTTGCTCATGATTAATGCCAATAATCTCTTTAAATCTTATAATTATCTTCTTCAACAAATTCTACTTATAAATTGGAACACATGTTTCATTTTATCCTTACTCGTATGGAGCCACTTCAAAAGACATTTTTTATCCTATTTATAGGATTTTAAGAGAAATTTTTTTATGTTAAATTACAAATTTATCCTTTATTTATTATTGTGTTCACTTTGTTTATATAAAATATAATGCATATTAAATAATTGAAAAGTTATTGAATTTTAAATTAGAGTTAATAAAATTTAAAGTTTTTCTTGGTTTGTGTAAAATATATTGAAAATAACTTATAAATAGGAACAGAGGAGTATGTTGGTAAACCTTATTATGTAATTGGCTAATTACTTTCCTTTTAATTTAATATACTACTTCCGATCCTTAATATAAGAGCTAGTTGACTAATTTAAGTAGATTAACAATATTAGTTAAGTTAATTATTTGTAATAAGTAAGTGTTGTCTTTTCTAAAATATCCTTACTAATCAAGTATAGTGGTTAAAACTATTAAAAATCAAACGAACTTTTATATTAACGATTGGATTTAGTATTGTCTTTTTATCAAAAAAAAAAAAAAGAAGTAAGGAGAACATGCAAGAGAGAGTAGGAAGATTTTACCTTCTTTCTTTGCCTTCCCCCCCTCCTGCCTTCTTTCTCCAGCCACTTCAACAATGTTTAACAGAGAAATCTGCTTTTGTTTTATAGACGTAGAAAAAGAAATAAGAGCAAAGGGAGCAAAGAAGAGAAAGTATTAAATTGACAGTGCAGAAATGACAGAAAACGGAAGGGGCACAGAAAACTCAGAAGCAGAAGCAGAAGCAGAAGCAGAAATTTTGAGCAAGACAAGAAGAATTGAGAGTGCCATAATAAATTAATAATTGAGATTCTTTTACTGTAACCCTCAGAAACTGTGTTTTTTTAAGTTATTATTAAAGAGTCATATTATACCGACCATCTCCT